TGGGGGGGGGGGGACCTCATAGAATGTACAAAAGCATAGATTTTCAATATTGTATGGATAGTTGTAGAGTTACTGATATTGGCTACTCGGACCTAAATATACTTGGTGCAATAATAGGAGACCTAGGAAAAGAATTTGGAAGAGGTTGGATAGAGTCTTCGTGAACGATCTGTGGGATAATCTCTTTCAAAGATGCTCTATTAGGCACATGACTAGGTTTGGTTCTGATCATTGACCTTTACTTATGAAAAATCTCAATGTGAATCTCAACTGCATTAAATATTTCAGATTCCTAAATTGTTGGTTAAAGCTGCCTGGCTTTTATGATGTGGTTAAGGAAAGTTGGAACTCTGAGGTTTCAGGGAATCCCATATGGATTTTGCAATCAAAACTGAAGGCGCTCAGTAGAAAATTAACTTAATGGTCCAGGGAAGACATTGGTGACATTAATGAGGTTGTTAACAACTGGGAAGTGAAACTTCAATATTTAGAGGATAAGGATATTGAAAACAATACAGAAGAGAGTAGAGAAGAAATAAACAAAGTCCATGCCGAATACATTAGATGGTTAAGCATCCAAGACTCTCTTCTCAAGCAGAAATCTAGAATAAAATGGTTCGAAGATGGTGACAAAAATTCCAGGTATTTTCACTACACTCTCAGAGAAAAAGGCAGAAGCAACAGGTAAATAGAATTAGAAATCATAAGGGTACATGGATCATGGGGGATGAAAAAATTTTGAAGGCAATAGTCAAGCATTTCAATGCCCAGTTCAACCTCCCTACACCTCACCTCAATCTCTCTATTCTGGAATGTATTCCTAAATGTATTACTGAGCTGGACAATTTATTTCTCCGTAGGATGCCAAATGATGAGGAGATCAAAAATGCTGTCCTTACCCTTAGTGCGAATAGCACCACTAGCCCATATGGATATAATGGTGCATTTTTTCACAACTGCGGGAACATTATCGTAGAGGATGTTTGTGCTTCCGTGCTGGAAGTCTTCAAAGAGAAAGGCTTGACTAAATTTTTCTCACATACTTGCTTAGTTTTGATTCCCAAAGTTGACTCCCCTGCTAATTTTTCTGAGTTTAGACCAATTAGTTTAACTAATTTCTCTAACAAAATTATTTCTAAAATTCTGTCTATAAGACTTAATCCTTTGTTGCATAAATTAGTTTTCCATAATCAAAGTGGCTTTGTGAAGGATAGACTAATTTATGAAAATGTTCTTTTAGCTCAAGTGATTATTCATAATATCTCTGACAAAAATAAGGGAGGTAATAATCATTAAGCTTGATATGGCTAAGGCATATGATAGAATGTCATGGCACTTTCTATACTCTATGTTAAGCAAATTTGGTTTCTCCAATCAGTGGGTAGACATGGTCCAAAATTTGATTTCTAATGTATGGTACTCCATCATTATTAATGGTTCTAGACATGTTTTTTCTTATCTTTTCAAGGTCTTAAACAAGGCGACCCCCTATCTCTCTCTCTCTTTTTATTATGGTTGTTGAAGTTCTCTCCAGGTCTCTTCACAACTTGTATAATCACCCGGATTTTACTCCCTTTGCTATGCATAATAAGGTTCTAAAAGTTAACCATTTAGCCTATGCAGATGATAATGTAATTTTCTGTAGTGGTAACTCTAAATCTATTAAGCTTGTTATGAAATAAATTGGCAATTATGAGGATAGCTCTGGTCAACTAGTTAATAAAAACAAAAGTTTTTTCCTTAATGCTCCTAAGACTTCTGCAAACAGGATTAATAGAACTAGGAAGTGTTTTGGCTTTATGGATAAGAATTTTCTCTTAACTACCTTGGTTGTCCTTTCTATGTGGGTAGAAAAAAATCTGAATATTTTGACATCTTGCTTAGTAAAATTGTGAAAAGGCTTAATGGTTGGCAGGGCAAACTATTTTCATATAGTGGTAAGACTGTGTTGATCAAAAGTGTCCTTCAATCCTTGCCTATTTATACTTTATCTGCTATGTCCCCCCCCCCCCCAAAGCTACTTTTAAACTTATTGAAAAGTATTTTGCTAACTTTTTCTGGGGTAACTCAAGTGAGCACAGGAGATACCATTGGAGCTTCTAGAACAACCTCTCCTTTCCTATGGAGGAGGGGGCATAAGTGTTCGAAAAATGGAAGATATCAGTGATATGCTAGCTATGAAGAGATGGTGGAAGATTAGGTCCACATCATCTCTGGGCAACATATGTTAGGAATAAATACTGTATTAAATCTCACTTGGTTTCAAAACAACGGGCTGCAGGGAACTCTCATGCATGGAAACATGTTCTTAAAGTTAGAAACATTGTAGAGAAACACATGGTTTGGCATATATACTCAAGTTCAAGTAGTTTTTGGTAGGACAATTGGACCTTAAAAGGTCATCTCGCAGGTTTAGTTAACACAACTAGAAAGAGCTACAAAACTCTGGTATGTGAATTCATCACTAGAGGAAAGTGGGATGTTAATAAACTGAAAAATATCCTTCCGGAGCACCTGGTTGACCATATCCTCAACATAGACATTGGAACCCATGACAAAGAGGATAAGGTTTATTGGGACCTTATGGATAATGGAAAGTACTCCAACAAGATAGCTTGGAATCTGGTAAGGCAATCTAGACCTAAGCAGCATCACATTGGTAAGATTTGGAATTCTTGCGTACCTTTTACTATGTCTCTTCTAGTCTAGACGCTTTGGAAAGGAAAACTCCATTTTGATGAAGTTATTTCTAGGTTTGGGAGACAAATTGTTTCTAGGTGTAACTACTGTGAGAACTCCTCCTACGAAAACATGCATCATGTATTTATAGAAGGACATGCAGCCAGTTATGTTTGGAAACTTTTTGGCTCTCAACTTGGTATTAGCTATCACCCCACCCCATTAGAAACATGACATACCCGATGGCATACAAAAGCTTTTAATGATGTACATAAACTGGTTTTAACTATTACTCCTATTATTATATGTTGGGTACTGTGGAAGGAAACTTGTGCTTGCAGGTATGGGGATCAGAAGAAATTTAACCTGTACAAATTGCAATAACAGATTGGTTGGAATGTGGAAGCTGCCATCAATAAGGCCTATCCAAATTGCAATCTCAGACTGCCTTGGAATACCTTATGCGACACTTTACTAAAGATGCAACCGAAACAAAGCTGTATTCTAGTCCAATGGCAAAAACCGGAATTGGGTTCTCTCAAATTAAACAGTGATGGAAGTTTCAACACAAGGAATAGGAGTGCTGGAGTGGGGGGAACTCTTAGAAGGGACAATGGTGATCTTATAATGACTTTCTCCTTTCCATATAGCTGTAACAACCACAATCTTACAGAGGCCTATGCTGCATTCTTTGGAATGACTTGGTGTATTAAAAATGGACACACATCTTTCACCTTAGAGATGGACTCCTTATTAGTCGTTGATATGTTAAAATGGGAGAAAGAAACAAATTACAGGATGTCTAAGATCACTGAGAGGAATAACTCGAATGAGGAGCACAACAAACATCCATATCAACCATTGTTACAGAGAAACAAACCAACTAGCAGATTGCTTAGCAAAACTGGCGAACAAGGCTCAAAATGGAGTTTTTTTCCTCTCCAGCCAATACCTACCTAAGGCAGCGAGGGACCATTTTTTTTGGATAAAAGTCAAGTTCCTAGCATAAGAACCAAGTATGATAAAGCTAACTTTTTTATAAGCTAGGATGTTTTTAGCTTTAAGTAGTGGTAGGTGAACTGTAACCCACGTGTTGTAACATTGAAAATCATATTTATTAATACAACACCCCCGTCCAATGGGAAAGTTTATAAAAAAAGGTGTGTTAGCACAAACTGTTAGAGAGAACATACTTTTATCATTGAAACACGCCCCCTCACATGCTGGTCTGATTCTATTTTTATAGGCCGTGAAATTTTTTTTGTACAATGGGTGGCGGTGAGACTCTGAACTTGTGACTTCTACCATGTTAAAATATGCGATCATCTCATCTAAAAAGTCAAGTTATCAGAGAGAGTATACTTTTCTTGTTGAACAACTGTTTTTGAACATGTAAAGTAAGTTCTTGCAAATAACAAATATATAGAAATATTTTTTCACCTAAATTCTAACAAAGTATAAGTTCCAATTCTCGGATCCCTCTCTTCCCAAGTGTTCATTTGATTTGGTATCAATTAAGAAAATGAACCTTAGCCCGAACTCTGAAACAAGTTTATAAGTTGAGAATTGTCCAAGATCATAACACGCCGGCACCCAAGACTTCACATCATAAGCATAAATAACATGAAATGGCTCCAACAATGTGGAAACAAAGAATAGAAATGAGTCTGTTACTTATACCATACTAAGAAAATAAACCTTAAGCTTAACTCAATGCAACAACTAGCTTTTGAGATGAGAATTGCCCAAGACCTTAGAATGAGACAATAATCTACTGCTCTGATCAACCAATATGAGACACTTAATAAACTTGGTTAAGATACTTTTTTCGCCTAATACTTTGTTAGATACTATGTATAAAGGGCAACCCGGTGTACTAAGCTTCCGCTATGCACGGGGTCCGGAGAAGGGCCAGACCATAAGGGTCTATCGATGCAGCGTTACCCTGCATTTTTACGAGAGGCTGTTTCCACGGCTCGAACCCGTGACCTCCTGGCCACATGGCAGCAACTTTACCAACTACGCCAACGCTCCCCTTCAATATATGAAGTAAAAATGTAGGACCTGCATATGTAGAAGCTTTCAAGCAATTGACTCATGCAAGAAAACAACATGATATCCATGGAGTGAGTAAGCTTTCCATATAAAAAAGAAAAGAGCCATATAGATGTAACATTTGAATTGGAATTTTTCTACTTTCTGTTGATATAGATAGACAAAGACAATGGGACATCATCAGTAAAGGAGGAATAGTGTTAATTGACTACTAAAGTGATACAATTCATGTTTTTGAATCTTTATGATATCCCTAATTGTCAATTTATGCTATTCAAGGATCATACTTGGACAAGGGACCAAAAGAAACATCCAAATTAATCAAAATCTGCTTTGCTAATTATTAGATTAATGAGTAATATAATAATTAGTTTGATTGGATTGAAGCACTGTATAGAATATGGGAACCTAAAGTCAAAAGAGATGATAATGACTATACAATTTTTGAAGATCACAATCTTTTAGCTGAAAATCTGTGACATCGATTACGTCAGTAATATCTAAATCTGAAATGTAAAATCTGTATGGAAAATGAAATGTATTCTTTTTATATAAAAAATACCATCAAGTGTTGGTGGAAATTAAATAAAATCTGTATTTAAGTTATTATTTGTGTACATATGAACAATGAAAAATAGCCCAAAAGAGAGTTAAAGAACACCATTCACAAACTTAATAACCTAATCTAGGGTTCCAATAAGTTGAACAGGCAGCAGCAACAACAACAACAACCACCCAGTAAAATCTCACCAGTGGGATCTGGGAAGGGTAATGTATTTCAAGACCCTACCTCTACCCCGAGGGTAGAGAGTCGGGGTAGAGAGGCTATTCCCGAAAGATCCTCGGCTCAACTCAAGAAGATGAAAAGATTGTGATTTTGCTCATTTTTTGAAAGAGGGAAATAACAACAACAACAATAACAACGACCCAGTGAAATCCCACTAGTGTGGTTTGGGAAAGATAGTGTATACGCAGAACTTACCCTACTCGAGGGAATAGAGATGCTGTTTCTGAAAGATCCCCTTCTACAAAGTGTATTTCGCGTCCAGTGGCAATAAAATCACGACTCGATTTAATTTAAAAAAAATTATAAAATAAAACCATGAACAAGGAGTAGATTACTTACAGATGGGGAAATTAGTAGATTAATAATTTGAACAAGAAGAGTTCTCAGATGATAAGAGTTCATCTAATAGATCAGGACCTAAGTCTTCAAATATCAACACATTCTCTTCTTCTTTAATATTCACTTGCTTCTTTCTTGAACTTCTACTATTTCTTTTCTTGTGTTTCTCTTTTAGGGCTGCAGCTGGTGACAACAATCCATCTTTTATGTTATTACATTCCATTTTTTGTAGCGATTCGCGCACTTTTTCCACTGGAAAATTCAGGCAAGTTTGGGCACCTCTCATAGAAAACGCAGCTTGATCATAAGCCATAGCAGCTTCTTCAGCAGTATCAAAAGTTCCAAGCCAAACCCTAATTCCATTCCTCGTCGAATCCCTAATTTCTGCTGCATATTTTCCCCATGGACGTTTTCGAACACCTATATATTTCTGGGGATTTCTTGGATTGAAGTTAACTTCTTCATCATTTGTTTCTCTTTCTTTTGAAGAATTAGTTTCTATTGATGATTCAGCTTCAACTTTAACTTTGACTTCCTCAGCAACAATAGAAACATTTGAAGTTTGTTCCTGATATTGATTCTTTAAATGTTCCATCAGTGGTGGAGATTAAAGCTGTTCTTTGATCCCTTTATTGTACATATTTTTAGTATAAAGTTCTGAATATGAGTGGACAAGCTTAATATGTCTAAGGGGTCGTTTGGTTGTGGAATTTGAGAAATTAGTTTCCACAATAAGTGACCATTCTACCTTTTTATTTTGGTCTAAAATAAGCGTCCATTTACATAATCAAGAAGGAATTAATTTTATTTTTCCAAAATTTGCTCTTATTTATATATTCCAATGTGTCAAGGTCAGTGACGAAGCTAGGAATTTACCCAAGGGTATTCAAATTTGAAAGAAGTGAAAAAAAATCCCGACAAAGGGTGTTTAATATGTGTTATATACCTTTAAAATGTAATATTTTATCTACATACACAGGGTAATTTTTGACGAAGGATGGTCAATTGACCACCCTTATAACCATGTGGCTTCGCCACTAGTCAAGGTAACAATTAATTAAGGTTAATTTAGTGAATACATCTTTTCTCTGTAGGAGTTCGTATTTCCTTTAAAGGTGTGCCAAATGTAAAATGGTTACTTATTGTGGATCGGAGGGAGTACATTGTTTGGTTGGCTGAATAAGAAACAAATAATCTCAGCATAACTAATGCAACACTTGGTTGGTGCGAAATATGATACTCCTTTCGCTTCATAATTAATAAGTGACCTTTTGACCTTTGACATACCCTTAAAAAAATACTAACTCCTAGAAAAAATAAGTATTTTGACGAAATTATCCTTAATTAATGAATTGGAGGGACGTTATTGGATTAAATAAGTGACCAAGTGGGAAATGATTATTTGAACAAGTTGGAACCCTGTGGCATCTGTATTAGATTTAGGAGTTATAATTAGGTTTTGTCGAAAAGCGAGATTAGGACAAGGATTAATTAGCAACTGATCATGATCTACTTGGTATAATTGTTAGACTTGAGCTGGATGATCAGACTCATTAAGAGGTTTATTTAATTATTAATTTTAGCCATTTTAATTGATTATCTTGTAGTCTGTCACCAAACTCTCCAGTCTCCACCAATAGAAATATGTATTAGACCTTAAAGTGACAAAATTTCAATAGAAGTGTCCCTAATTGTATTATGATTTAGTAATATATATAAACTATACTCTTTATTGGTAAATAGTAGACTAATAATAATACATAGTACTGCGAGACCTCTCTATAACATTACTTCACTATAACAAATGATTTTTTCATATTATATTATAATATATGTTTTTTATAATAGCATTTTCTGTAACAGCAAAAAAATATTGGAACAAAGAAGACCGTTATAGAAAGGTTTGATACGAGTGAAACTATCTTGTCACGGTCATTATTGTTTTAATTTGGACTCAACTTGTCTACCAAAATGAATTGGAGGTGACTAACAAGAGTGATTTTGGAGTTCTTCCATCTTTAATCAAAAGTTTTAGGTTCGAATCTTTGTATAAATCACTTTTTTCGGACACTATTTTACCCCTAATGTAAAAGTTCCAATGCGAAAGAATTTAACCGAGTTCCGATATGAGTGTGGAAACCAAAACAAAATGATGTAGATGCCAATATGCCAATATGCCAAAGGTCAACTCTTCTCTCAACCATGTCCTTAAGCTGCTTACCTTTTTCTTATCTTCTTTTGTTAAAATTATCCAATGAGTGTTTGTTGATAAAGAATAGTCCGGTGTACTAAGCTTTCCCTATGCACAGAATCCGAAGAAGGACCGGACTACCAGAGTTTTTGTTGATAATATGGATATATTATATATAGAGAGAATCTAGTAAAATACTTCACCTTCTGGGAAATATGGTCCTTGTAATGTCTTTTTCAAGAAACATAGAAACAAAAATAAGTGCTATAAAATATAGTAGCACTATGTTCTCAAAAGTCTTCATCTTCCATCCTTTCTATAGTAGTTTTAGTTTTTAGTTTATGTTCAGTATTCGCTTTGTGGCCTGATTTTGATGCATACAATGATGTCACAGTAGAAAAAAAGACTCCATACGATGATGCATCTAGTGACGTCACAATTGAAAAAAAGAAAAAAGAATATTGAACATCATGAAATCAAACATCGAATGCAAATATTTTTATGCCGCTTTATGAATATCTTATCCTAAATGCTTTTGTTTATTTGTTCACTGGCGAATTTAAAATTGAATTTTATGATTATCTACTGCAATCTAGTTAATATACAATATTAATTATATTTATAATAAATATTTAACAAATTTCTTTATATATATATAGAGAGAGAGAGAGTTTGAAAGAAAATTAAACTCATAAGTCATATGCTAAATTAGGTCATAATCTTAATTATGAAAAGGATATCTAATAAGTATCTAATTTATGCCATATATTTCATTTAAGGAATCTACATAATTTAACTAACTCAAGCACGGTCTTTTATCTCTTTTTCCATTCTTTTTAAATTTATTTGTCCAACTTTTTTTCCCTTCTGGTTTTTTTAATATTCAATTAATTTGTCTTTCATAAATAAATCTGAAGGAAACATAATAAATAATTAAATATTAGCCTCACATCTGGGATTTGTCTTTTTCCGTCGGCGGATACCCCACAAGCATTTCTTTCCCTTTATTAAACGTCCATTAAATAGGACAACCAATGTTAGTGAAAGAGGTAGTTTCTTGTTTTTAATGGTTGTTTTATTGCCTTTTGTAGCTGGTTAGATTCTGTCTTCTTTTTTATTATTTTTTTTATTTTTTATCTAAGTATCGAAATAATCAGATGTCACGTGGAAGTTAGTAAAACAAATCTTGAACGACGATAATTTAGACAATAAAGGAGAAATATACTAAAAGAGACATAAATATTTAACGTGGTTTGGTCAATTTGACCTACATCGGCAGGCGGAAATGAGCAATCCACTATGTAAAAGAGAGTTCAAAATATCGAGAGAACAACCTCACAAAGAGGCAAATACAAGTGACACACTAATACTTGTCCCGAAAAGTTCCCCCCTGAAAAAACCTCTCAAACTCCTTATGGCTACATTGTGGATGTTACTAAATAAGAAGGAAAGATCCTCAATTTATAGCAGTTCAAACATTTTCCTATACAAAAAGGAACTATAAAAAAAGGAATTAGCCAAAATATAGAATATTTATAATTTTCTTCTACTAGAAGAAAAATCCAATTATAGTAAATATATTATCATTTCCTTTAAGAGATAAGAAAACTATATATAAATGGTAAAAAAATTAGGGCAACACCTAACGGTGAGAATTCTTTCTCTTGCCCTTTTTTTAAGGCCCATCTTTTCAACCATAGAAAAGCTGGGATAGGAATTGACTTAAACAGTTACATATGTTGGGCGCATGCCCATGTTGTCTAGCCAAAGGCCAAATGGCCTAATTCTATTCTCTTTTTGATTTCCAATCCTATTCGGAATTGGATTCGGTTTATTCCTATTTTGAGTGGGTTTTGGCTTTAAGAGAAAGCACCACTCATGATCTATAAATAGGACAACTTTGGAGAATTATTCTATGCTCATTGATACAAGTCTTTGAAAGACTTAAGCACATAAGAGTGGTTTTTGAGAGACCTTTCGTCAAGAGAGAATAAAAATATTTGTTTTGCTGCAGATTTTTATTCCGACCAGCCAACATTCAAATCTCGTTTTCTGATTTGTTAACTGTTGGATCAGGCTGAAATTTTGAAAGAGTGTTTGTAAATCTTGGTCTTGAATTTGAACGGTGGAGATCATATTTGGAGGCTCGTAGCATCTGATTTCGAGCCTCGAACAACAGATTCATTTTTGTGGATTCTCCTCTTTCTTCAATTGATTAGTTATTGCTCATGTTACTATTGTTTCTCTGTGTTTGGCACTTGTTGTGTAGCCAATTTGGAGAACTTTTGTAACCCTCTTATTGTTATAGTGGAGTTTTTAGATCTTTGTGATCCCGTGATTTTTACCTTCGATTTGAAGGGTTTTCCACGTTAAAATTTGGTATTCTTTATCTTCTTTATTTTCGGGTTTGCCTCTTCCTCGACATAACAGTGCTATCAGAGCCTTGGTTATTTATCCGGGTTGTTATGGAATGGAGGCGAATATGAGCAAGATGGTATGTTTAAATGGGAGAAATTATAATGTTTGGAGAAGCAAGATGAAAGACTTGTTTTTCGTGAAGAAGATGCATCAACCTCTTTTTTCAGCTCATAAACCCGAGAGTATATCCGATGAAGATTGGGATTTCGAGCACCAATATGTATGTGGATATATACGACAATGGGTTGAAGATAATGTTCGCAACCATATTGTGAACGAGATACATGCGAGATCATTGTGGGAAAAGCTTGAGACTCTTTATGCTTCAAAAACCGAAAACAATAAATTATTTCTGCTAAAGCAATTGATGACCTTTAAATACAAGGAAGACAAACCTATCCTTGATCACATAAATGATTTTCAGGGCATCATTGATCAGCTATATGGAATGGGAGTTAATTTTGATGATGAGATACAAGGACTTTGGATTCTTAATACTCTGCCAGGCTCTTGGGAAACTCTTCGTGTTTCTTTGACAAATTCAGCTCCTGGAGATAAGGTGACCATGGAATATGCCAAGAATGGTGTGTTGAACGAGGAAATAAGGAGAAAATCTTATGGTTCGTCCTCACAAGCAGATATCTTGGTTACAGAAGACTAGGGGAGAGATAGAATAAGAGGCTCAAGGAATAGAGGTAAAAGTAGAAGTAAGTCAAGGTCCAAATACTATAATATTACATGCAACCACTGTGGCAAGAAAGGACACATCAAAAGGTTTTGCCGCAAGTTGAAACAAGACACTAGAGAAGGAAAAAAAGCTAAAAATAACGAGAACAATGTTGCTGCTATTGTTCGAGATGACCTTCTTTTTGCTTATGATGAAAATATCATCAATTTGGTATCCCATGAGACGAACTAGATAGTAGATTCTGGAGCTACCTCGCATGTCACACCAAGAAAAGACTTTTTCTGATCTTATACTCCTGTTGATTCTGGAGTGTTAAAAATGGGCAATGCCAGTGAAGTTAAGGTGTTTGGTGTTGGCACAGTTTGTTTGAAAACTAATAATGGGTCA